TGAACTACAATAAATTTTACTCCTTACCCATGGGGATATGCGAGACCCTGGGGTCATGAAAGTTTTGTAAAGCACATTAAGGCGTTTCCATCCATGAAGAGCATTGGATTCTACCATATTTGGATGTTGAGAAGAACTGTTTCGTAATTGAGTCAATTTGACCCCATTTTGGCCCCCCTCCTTGAGGCCCCTGAGGCGTGGGGACCGTATAATTGTTTTGGTCTATCTTAGCTTCCTTAACATTTTATTTCAATCAATTCGGGTTTTTTGAGAAGTCGAAAATGTTAAAAGTTTACGTATACACGACGTAAGGCACCGGACAAAAGGCGATCGCAATAGGTCACCATGAGACTTTGTCTCAAGTGAGTTAAAACGAGATAATCAAACCAGCACCATGTGCATTTCAATATATTATATAAAGAAGTGAATTGTATGTTTGTTTACTCTGACCACATACATGTCCTTCATTTTATCTTTAACAACACGAAACTATCCAATGAATATCAAATAGATTATATATCTAAAATATAGCGACCACACAAATCGCAATCTATAGATAATATCAATGATCATGTTATCAAAAATGTAAGTAGTGATATGAATATATAGGACACTGATTACGATGATACCTTTTCATTCAATCTAATCAACATGGTCCTATTTTTAGAAATCGAGTGGACATAACCTAACATACATGTAAACAGAAGTAGGTACATACATTCACCCCTGTATCAACGCCATGAAGTGCTTGTCATTGCTAATGATATATCGTGCAAATAGAATCTGATACCAGTGTATTATTTGTACTTTCAGGTATAGATATATATATATATATATAAACAACACGATGCGAACACATGGGTGTTTGCTTTGGTTTATCAAATAACCCAAGTAACATGATTGTACTCAGCGTCCTCCCTTCATACAGCATTTACAAAAAAAAAAAAAAATCATGTATGATCAGCTGTGTCATACTGATACAGAACGCATGTAGTTGGCCAATGTATAGTTCTAAAGTATATATGTTTGAAAAATATCACTAAAGAAAGTCTATTTGGCGTTTTATTTCTATTATCTAATGTAAAACAACAAGAAAATACATTGTACAAGGATGTGAACATCCGAATTCAGTTCAATAACACTAAGGCAAAAGACGAGGAAGAAATAGATGGAGACAACAGAAAAAAGCGCAAAGAAAATAAGATAGGGTTATCCGGAAAAGTAAGCACCTTCTCCTTCATCGATATTTCCTGCTATGTAAATATTGGTCAATCTAAGTAAGTCATGTCTTGTTCTCAAATGAGGTTAAAGTAAAAAAAACACCAGAACAACTCCGCAAATCAACCAACGTCAAACATGTTTCACTTCATATCACACAGAGAAATAGAATATTTCTCAATGAGATCACTTTAACGACCGTAAAATTTCTCCATGGTTTTTATACATCTGTATCTTTTGAAACGAAGTGTTATGAGTTTGTCAGTTGACATTTCACGAAAACAAATCGAATCAATTACACCATGTCAACCCTATACATATATGTGTAGGATGGGGATGCAGGGTTACTGCTATACAGAAAAGGAAAATTAAAAATAGGAGAATTGAACTCATCACCTTTATCATAAAACGTGACGGAAACCTTTCCATATTGATTTCATTGTAGGAAGAGATTGAGATAAACAACGATGAAGAAAGTCTGCCGTGTCCTTGATTTCCTATTCAGGTGAATATATGACATGGACACTGACAGTAGAGTTTTGATGAATTCAGTTGATTGTTTTGACATGTTGCTATTTTCTTGTTGTTGTTTTTACCGGGCAGCAAATTGTTCTGTACATTATATTATAAAGATACTCATAAACACTGCGAAATATTTGGCATATTGTGTAAAAACAGACAGCAAAATGATTTGTACATTTTAAATTATGTTACTAGTCAAAACGAAGACCCCAAGCTATTTATTATGAGTTGTACTAATTGTCAATTGTTCTATGTGCTTTCAGGGTATTATAAAGAAAATAAAAGTATCATCAAAATTGCGACATATTTGGCATATTTTGTAAAAACGAATTATATTGTGGGATAAAAAAGAGCGCTGCCTCAGAAAAAAGAGTTACTGAATGAATGACATGCTAACACCGCTATGCATGATGAGCATAGTTCTCAAAACGGAAAGAGTGCCATCTTCGGTCCAATATTGTTTCACATACATGTACATATTAAAAAGAATAGCCCTTTTAATGGAATGAAATTGATAATGAGACTGCTTTAAATCCAGGCTGTTCAGAAGAGGACTAAAGTCTTCCATCATGAAGTTCACGGGAAAAATGTATTTTTTGTAGGAAATTAAGACAAAGTATGCTTATTAGGACGAGCGTTTATTTGTTAGGATCAGTGTCAAGTATGTGATATCACTTTGATAAATCTAGATCCACTTACAGAAGCTGGAGACGCTTACCCTTCAGGAAGACCTGTAAAATTAATTCGGCCTCTCAATCATAAAAGAACTAGCACTTGAAATTCAAAATGAAATCAAAACGCATGTCTGTATACCTTCATCCTGGTGTTGTTCGTCACTGATTAAGACGAAAATATGTTATTGTGCCTGCAATCCAATAACTCGATCATGTCCTGCCCTGTCCCCAATATCACGATTTCTTGTGTAAGATGTCTTACAATCACAACACATTGTTGCGAGAGATGCAGGTTAATGAAGATAATGGGAAAGTTCTATGGTTGTCATAATAATTCTATTGAGAAACATACTATTCGGTATGGAACGGGATGTGTTTGATACTCTTTTGTATGCTTTACTTGGCGGTTATCGTGGACGAAGCAGAAGACGCATATGAGTCCGGAGCACTTGGTCTTATTCTTCTTGTTACTTTTCATGAATTACCACGTTAATCGTTCTTTCGTTCTAAATTTGCCAGAGCTGCGTCGAACACGTTTTTGAATTAAGATTATGTTAACAAGTAGGTATTTTGTTAGTAATTTTTCGTGCTTTGTTTTAATATCTACCCGTGCATTTTTCACGGAAGCGAGACAATCCTGGCCTTTTGTCGACGATGGGATTTGGGTTAATTTATAGTTTTGCCTTTAGATCCGTTGACTGTTGAGTTGATCGCAATTTGATGATATAAAGTGTGTAGTACAAGAAATATAATACACTTTTAACATACTGTCTATATAAATATTAATTAATATACCCAACGAACTTATAATTTATACTATTTTTGGGTGTTGCTTAGTACGAATACAATGATAGGTCTATTTCTTCACCTGATCCCCGGCTTACTTAACAAATAGAATACCTATATCATTTGCACTTTATTACTTCAATAAAAAAAGTCCATTTAAACTTGAAAGGTCTTTCTGTCTATGTGCATTTGAATGATTTAAGTACCGAAAACAAACTTTTGAATCACGTAAAGCCTGCACATGAATATCACTTTGACATGGCAGGGACAATAATAACGGGTATGTGAGCTTATAACAGAAATTTGTAGCTCATATAAGGCTATGATTTGATTAGTTAAAACTAAAAATAATGATTATTGAAACAAATGGTAAATACAGATGTAAAAAATATTCATATTATCATTGAAATTTCTGATTTTTTATATCACTGATCAACTTAGTTAAATACAGAACATATGAAGTATAAATTTGTTTTGTAAAATAGCATTCAATTAAGCTATGAATACAGGTTGAACATTTTAAAAATATAATTCAATGGCTATTGATAGCGTTCTATCAGTCGTATTAGGTTCAATTAGTATGTATGAACACTGTCTGTTAGCGAGGGCAGTGAGACTCATAAGATGCACACTTAGGTGTTATTATATGCTCAAATGTTATCATGATATGTGATAACATTTGATGTACGTAGCATATTGACAACGAGAGAGAAGAAAAAAAAACAAACGCTGGTTGATGCCGATATTTGACAATCAATGAAGGTACTGGTGTTTCGATTAGCTCGAACTAAGAATGTGAAAAAGTAATGATAGAATAATGTGTTTTCAACAATTCTTCAATTCTTCTTTGCACATTATGATCTTACTGCTGACAATTAACTAAAATATTGACAGTTTTAATGTTCTTAAACAATGCATCAGACAAAAAGATTGTAAACATAACATCAGGAGTGCTTTATCCCGACAACAAGCTATGGATGTTGGTTTTTTTTTTTCTTTTTTATAATGTATGAGACTTAAGCTATTTTTTACATTTACAATTTAGTTTTGTTTGGTCCTTCTTTTAAGCACTATTGCGTATAGTTTAAGGAATGTGTCTCTAAGAAACGGATAACACAACAATAAATCGATATTAAAATATCAATTTTCGAACACAAAATATTTTAATGTTTTATTAAAGAAAAAGTATATATATAAATCAACACTGAGATCATTCTGGGAAAAAAAGAAAAAGAAAAATTATTTTGCATTGACAGAGTTAATCGGTCTGGGTTTTTCATCTGTAGTATTTCCAAAGTCTTTCGCTATCGTATAACATAGATGTACTATATATCACATATATTTATATCATATAAATGCAACTTATCCGATAGGAATCTATTGATCATATGAGACAAACAAGTCAAGAAACAAAGGAAGACAAAGAACGTTCGTCGTGAAGAATATAGTACCTAGGATTAATCTTCCTCGTCTATTTAGCACAATCAACTGACCTTAAATGTCAGAAGATGACAGGCAATGCTAATATCTTTATTCCCTATCCATGATTCCATAAGGTGCCGATTGATTAATATCAAACTAAAACAAATAATACTTTAACAGGGTGTAATTCGCCAAGGAGAACAGCCAATTAAATACTAACCATTCCTTTGCCCACAGCACTGCAGTGATAATGTCCACCTGTTGGATGAAATTTATTGTATCTGTTCGCACATCTTGTTCACTTATTCAAAAGGCAATATTTTTAAAAAAAAGTAAATAAAAGGTTATCGATCACTGACACACCTATATTTTCAATTGTCAATTTAATTTGACAATGCCGAAGAAGCTTGCCTTTGGATCACGTGATACAAACGAAGTATTAGAGACTTGGACGTACACCTGATCACCTTTTTCAAATATCAGTGCTGCAGACGTGTAGCTCGTGAGGTCACCAAATTCCCAGGATGGTTGAATCTTCTCGGCGTTGACACTTCTTAACAAGAGTTGTGTCCCGCCATTAGGATAGATGACGTTGAAGCGATACACGTAATGATACAGAACGGGGATATTACCGTGTATAAAATCACCAGTATCACGTACAGAAAAACAAATCTGACTGTAAATCAAGTATAGACCTTTCTGAGGAATCACCAGTTTGTCTTTGATAAGTCTTAAACCTTCGACGTGGGCGGATGGGTCCCGTGTCTGCCAATTCCGAATAGGTTGTTGTCCTTTTGAAAAATCATTTAACACATTAGTTATACACACCAATCATAAAAATGACAAATTGCTATATAGTTAATATAAACAGTTTTCTTTAAAATGATAAGCAAGTTATTTTTCCATTAATTGAAAAATACACCAATGTTCATGTAGGTTTGTTAATATTTACTAATACCACTGGGTTACAATACCATAACATACCGTTCCGAGTTGTTTTCAGACGTTGTAAACCAACAAGCAGATGGGCAGATACGCCGCCAGAGGTCGCCATGTTAGCAGATGAAGGAGTCGTGTGATTGCAGCATTCGGATTGGTTGGATTTTTTATCATCTGTATACAGTAATTAGTATAAGTTTATACCGTATTGAATTAAATGTACATTGTTTCAAGAAAGGCATTCGTATTCTCACTGTGCTTTTCACATTTAACGATTATTTCAATCAAACTTACCGGCGATGTCAGAAATCATTTTCTGTCTTTGATACATCTGCAATTGATTTACAAACCTATTAAGTAAGTTTGGACACAAATGTTGCACAAAATGAATGACATGGTATTGGAAATAAAGTATGCAGTTCTCTATATACCATCTTGAATCGGTTTAATCTGACTTTAAAACGGTTAATGTCCGTTCCTTCTGATTATTGGAGATGCCTGATCTACAGTCCTGCATTTCCTGTGACATTTTAAAATACTCTTAAAAGAATTAAAATCAATTCTTTTTGGAGACTCCATATGACACATATAGAAGCATGTTTTAAAGCTGCATGATGCATGCTGGATATAGATATAGTGCACAATCACAATGTCTGATTAGTTCTTAATTCATTTGCTCTCGTTATTGCTAGAAACGATAACAAGAAAATGCCTTAATATGGCATTATGCTGCACATCACATCTCAATGATATTTTAGTGAAAAAATTAATGCAGATTTTCAACAGAAAATGCAATGTGTGAACCCAACTGAGAGTAAAGAAAGAGAAAAACAAGACTAATGAAAAGTATGGGAATGTTTTGATATTCTATAATGTGAATATTATCTTTACCATTTCCACGATTATTCGAATTTGTTTTGGCGATGATGCACAGCAGATGTCTCCTTTTCTGTCAAGCTCAAGGAGATTAGGGTCGTCATCATCTAGTGGACCAGTTTTTAGTTCATTACATTGCTGACAAATAGTCTCTTTGACTTCGTTTTTCTTTCCGAATCTTTCAATCTTTCCATCGATATCTGCTACTTCTGAGAAGAGAAATGCAACGCATGCCGATAGTACAATGCAGATAGCTATACATGTGATAACCATATATAAAATCACGTGATCAATCCTACAACAGCATGTTCGACCATTTTTCCTGCTAACTTGAGGAAGGAGTTCCGTCTCCGAACTCTCACTTATGGACCTAACAGCATGGTGTGTCGAATGCTGAACTGATGCATAGCTGTGTTGAACACTTTTCTGTTCGGAATCCATCGGACTGTTTCTATACATCTCTTGCCTCTTTACTCTGGAAAGAAATCGCAGTCATTGCAGTAGACAATACGTTTTCTGTTGTACTTTCGATACGGATTTTACACATGTTGTGATTTAGTCCATGGTTGTTTATATTGAGGAAGTAAATATTTGGATATATTTTTGTAACGAGTATTTATATTACTGCAATGACATCGGTTTTATTTAATCTAGTATTACAAAAGTTTTTGTTCTAAAATTGCACATGGTATATACATGTAGTAGACACTATTATAAACGTCGATACACATACCTCAATACATCGTCTACCTAACTCCTATGTTCCGGTGTAGGTACTACGATACGAGATGTTTACAGTCAGCTGTTCGGGTAGGACGTTTAAGTTTGTTATGGTGTGTATCGGCCTTTATACCCGGCTTTTATAATACAACCGGCAACCCGCCGACTAACCTATAAATACAACGTTGTCGGTTTACCTATCTGTATTTACTTACCTAGAGTATTTTTCTGTTCTACAACTTTACTTCACAACAATGCATACAAGTCACTACTGTTGGTTCTTATGGAAATGCGCAAGAGGTCGCACTTTAAGCAGAAACTGAAATACCAGAGGAAACTCACTTAGACGTGCAGGTACCTTTGTACCTTATACATGTACGTCCTATCATGGTTCGCTAAAATGATCGGGAGTGTGTTACAATTATGCAAGTGCTCATCTTTAACTCATAGCACAGGTAAATCATGCGTTCAACTAAGTTGAGTTTGAGTGACTGTTTTATCTATTTAGAATTACTTTCCCATGTGAGATCAACGAGATCAAGATGGAAAACAAGGGAACCACCCAGCTCCATGTCACAAGATATTTCCCATTGATATTGTGATGGTGATCATTGTCATCCTCAATATGCTTCTGTCTAAACTCCATGTTGTAAATAGGAAGCAAGATTGTTTCTATATGTAAAATGGAAAATTCAAAATTGGGAAATCGAAGATGTTTTGCTTATCATACTGCCAAAAGAGGTTCAGTTGCTTCTTTCATTTGTCGGAAAAGATCGAGACAAAAAAAAAACTGGTGACCAGTAGAAAAGTCAGTCGTGGCTTTATTTTCAGTTTCGATGGGAACAGATATGCAATGGACGTGATAAAGATATTTTTCCATATTTAAAGAGAGTTTATCATTAAAATGTAAATCTGAAATTGAGAAGGAATTTGGCTTTGTTGTGAATTGTATCAATAAGCACTAAGATAGATTCAGTTTCGACAAAAAACACAAAACAAAATAAAAACAAACCAATTGCAGATAGAGAACAGAAATCAAAAATAAAAAGTAAAGTAATCTGATGAAAAGTAGGGATGGTGATATATCCAAATATCACGCCTGGTCTTATAAACAAAGTACCGATAAAAACTTTTATGATTGAAATGTTTAATAATTCGAAAATAATTAAGCAAACATCATAGGGAGAGAGTTTCCACTGAATCACGAGAAGAACAACAATCAGACCAGGATTGCAATATAAAACACAAGTGATAGGCAATGATCAGCCACTTTTGACGAGCGAAACCCTCACAAAAGATATTTTAACAAATCTTTGTCTAACTTTGTCATCACTATAAACGTTCATATGATTTGTAAACCTTCATCTTATGAATACCCTAAGTATCACTGGAGCAATACGTTCAGAAGAGATTAAGGAGGAAACAACAGAAGCAATTTGACAGGTAAGGTAAAGCAATCTGAGAAGCATTAAAATGATAGCAAGGCAACGTAAAATGTCCAAAGAGTCTCTTAGGAGGACGGTCCTAAATATTTCTCTTTCTCCTAGACTACACTGAATTGTTGGAGAAATACTAGATCCAGACATAAGCACGTTTATCGCACAGCTGTAGGAGTCGATTATGTTTCGGAGTATTACGTAAGTGATTTCATCATAAGACAATTAATTAAGGTTTTCGTCTTGTAGCACAGAAAGTATGTATTGCAGTTGTAGTATGTAGTGTGTGCGGAGAAAATATTGGTGCCAGGGAGGAAGTCCATTATGTACCTACAATATATAGTATATATCTGTATGTGTTACAGGTTTGCTCCATTTCTCCAGTACCGAGAAGAATGTATTTCATAACTTGTCTGCTTTGTCTTTTTAGTTATCACCATCTGGATCTGGTCCTGTGTTTTCAAACTGCATTATGTGGCGACATTTTCAATTCTTCTGATATCAAATACATCTCTAGGTTCATTTCGTCAGGATCTGATAGTCCCAAGAGAGTCTCCGTTCTGATGATCTGGGGTTCTATTTTCAACAAGCAATTAAAAAACAAATTGAGTGTTTAGGACGGTATATTGCACAAAAAAATATACAAACATAATTAAACAAACCCGGGTATCATGAAACAGCATCGATCACAAAGTGAAATGGCGGTGCTAACATCAACACCAAGAAAATAGGCATAGATGCGTATGTACAATGCATTACAATTGTATGAGTTTTATTTGGTAAAATAGGTTAGGTTAAAAGACAACTATAAAATTTTGATGAAATCTTCACACAAAAGCTTGAGTAGATATCAAAATATTTTAAATGTTTTATATTGCAGCATATAAAAAGTCACCGTTTAAAATTTTCCTGAATAGCCAGAAAGAAGGCGACAATTTGATTAATTTTTAAAAAAATGAGAAAATACCAACATTGCAGAATAATCACAATCCAAACTCAAATTCCACAAAAAACTAGGGCGAAATATGAACAAAAGGAAGATTTTCACGGATACTCCTGCAAAATTACAAGGAGAATAAGGCCAGGTGTTCCGATAGAGTAAGCGTTTTCTGTTTCATCGGCGACACACACCATGTAAACCTTGGTCAATCCAAGTATGCAATGTCACATTCTCAAATGAGAACAAGGTATAACACAACAGAACCAACAGGCAAACTAACGAGCATCAAATACGTCCAGCTACATTTCACACAAAGACATGGAATACTAAACACATATGTCAGTGATAAATGGCCACTTCTTTGTATCTTCATGTAAAGATATAGGAAGTAATATGAGAGATCTGATTTTAATAATACTGAAAGAGTTTTGATATGTTGGTAAAATAGCTGATCACTAAAATTAGATCGACCTCCTAGTTTCCAAATTGGTCACATGCCAGCTTAAGTTACTTAAGATTTATTGTACAAACAATAGTGTATTGATCTCTTTAATTGATTGATTTGATATAAGAAAACCTGGGGGAAGATAATAACTGCACGTAGTGACAAATTCCTTTTGTGACATTAGGTATATATGCTAGTATATCATACCCAATGTTTATAACAGTATCATTCTGTTTATATAATCACGTATTTATAATTCCTAAAACATGGCATTCAAATTCCTATTCCCATCGACGTCTTAAACCTAGAAAATTAAAAATTGTTGGTCACATTGTCATCTTGACACGAAAGTTCGAAATGATATGTAAAAGAATTTAAACGATTGGCATTGCAGCATTCGAGAGTCACTTTTTTAATTTCCGAAAAGTCGGAGAAAGGATCAGTTTAATTGGTTAATGATAAATCGCATACGTTAGCGATAAATGGTCAATAGCAATGCAATTCTAACGGCACTTTGTTAGATGTTAAGTTACATGGTAGTAAGTGATAGAGATGATTTTAATTGGGTTGGCAGAGCTTTAATATTGAGGACATGTGGGTGAAATAAAGGTGACCGCTGAAGTGATATTTACCTCCTGGTTTCGAAATATTTCTCGTGGCAGCTTAAGTTACGTAAGGTTTATTGTACAACATGACGAATCAAAAATGTATTGAACGCTTTAAGTGATTGATTTCATATCAGTAAACCTAGGGGAGAGAATAACTGCACGTAGTACAGACTCGTTTTGTGACATTATGTATATATGCCAGACACTTTGTCATATCCAGCCATGTCTTACACCTAGATAATTCATAGCTATTGGACACTTTGTCATATCCAGTCATGTCTTAAACCGAGAAAACGCATAGTTGTTGGACACGTTGTCATATCCAGCCTTGTCTTAAACTGAGAAAACGCATAGTTGTTGGATAATTTGTCATATCCAGTCATGTCTAAATTCTTGTTGAATCCAGCAAATTTATTTGCAATGGCGACAAAAACATTTTGACATATTGGATACGGTGGGCCTGTCACCTTTTCGGTGGTAATATTTTTTTTCATACACGAGTTTTTCTCGTACTTATTATATCATTCCACATTCGGTGGGAGACTGTTACCCGACTTGTTTTGTTAAATATTATTAATTCTTTGTAGAATTTAAATCATCTATCAGATTATGATATTCCATATAAAATGTGAACAGTAAACTTCGTTCAGGTGTCATTATTAAATTACACTTAATTCAACGTGAAGGAACAAACCCAATTTATAGCATTTATCTATCCTGAATGACAGTTCTACTGCCAATGAATACCAACCAACACTATATCTAAAATGTACCAAGTGATAAAGGAGTATTTGTTGTTAAATTACTAATAGAAATAAAAACAAAACAAAAATCATATAATATATTTGATATGATACAAAAATGGTCGCTATCTGTTAATAATATCATCTGTTGATAATATCTAAATACGGCTATGTACGATGGCCGAAAACGGCCTGACAAAACACATTTTGTGTCAAAAAAATCTACTACTATAGTAATTAATATATTTGTACACAGAATGGGTACGTTCACATTTCGTGTCAAAGATGTGTAGTTAGTACGTACATATTTTGTTAACGAAAGCATGCTACTAGTTACACTGTTTTGTCAGTCCGTTTTCGGCCATCTTAGTTATCTCATGGGATTTCCATATGCGATATTGTGTTTACTTAACACCTGTCTGCGATAAAAGATTGAGCCAGATAATATTTCCACTTAACTACTGCATTATCAGTTATCATAATACCTAGACGGGATGATATGTGTGGTCACGAATCATATCAAGGACATGACCATTACTGTATATTGTTACGATAAGCTTATCATCT